GAGAGAGAGAGAGAGAGCAGGAGCAATAGGCGTGGTGGGTTTGGCTAAAGTCGTTTGTGGTATGGACAAGCACGAGTGCAACTGCCAACTTTGTAGATGGAAAAATTGAAGCTCAGACCAAGGTTCATCAGCATCGAAAAGCCAAACGCAAAATTCATCAACATTATTCCATGTCCTCATGCCTCTTCTTTTTAGTAGACATAGCGCCATCCGCGCTCGTTGCCAGAGTTGTCGGACCAGCCCTCGGCCTCGTCGAGGCGCTTGTTGAGCACCACGGCCCTCCAGCGGGCCAGCATGGCCGAGATGACGACGCAGAGGCAGCCAAACAGGATGACGCCGCCGCCCATGCGGTAGTAGGGCTCCTGGGAGCGCGGGAAGAAGTAAGGGGTGAACCAGTGGCTGGTCTGGCTGATGCAGTTTGCGATGGCGACCAGGGCGGCCTTCTTGGCGCGGGGCGCGGGCACGACGGTCGTCTCCCACGAGAGCTGCAGGTTGAGGCCCGAGTAGGTGCCCGAGATGAGGAGGACGAGGCCGACGTAGCGCACGGGCACGCTGAGCGTCGCGATCAGCATGGCGCACCCGGCCGCCGACGCGACGATGGGCCCCACCACATGCCAGAAGCTCTCCTGCATCCTGCCCGACGACCAGGCGAGCCCGCAGGCGGCCAGGTAGGCGATGGCGTAGGGCGGGGCCTGGATCAGGTACGTCTGGAGCTTGCCGAACCCAAAGGTCTTCATGATGGAGGGCAGAAAGTCCTTGAAGGACTGGGCCGTGACGAGGGCGAAGTGCATCATGCAGAAGATCCACGTGAAGGGATCCTTGGCGGCCGACTTGAGCCCGGCCCAGATGCCGCCGTGCGTCTCCTCGACACCGCCGTTGGAGTTGAGAACCCGGTACAGCGCCATCTCGCGCTCCTGCTCGTCCAGGAACTTGGAGTTCTCGGGCCAGGCCGGCAGGACGACGTAGGCGGCCAGGGCGACGGCGACGGACGCGATGCCCTCGATGAGGAAGAACCACTGCCAGGACTTGAGGCCCGCACTGTTTCGGGGCTGTTAGTCCCGAGGCGGATCTTGGAGTTTGGACGCAAGAAAGCATAGAAGAAAAAAAAGGATGAAACCTACACCCCGCCCATGTTTTCCAGGATTCCGGCGGCAAGGAAGCCCGACAGGATGTTGGAGATGGTGTTGCCGGCGTGCCAGATGGCCATGCGCAGCGGGTTCTCCTCCTTGGTGTACCACGACGAGGTCCTGGACGAGGCGGGTTGTTGGATTAGCAATAGCTCTGCGAGGACGAGCCCGGCGCTGGCTGTCTTACATCAACGTGATCCCGGGGAAGAATGGCGCTTCGGCGAATCCGATAAAGCAGCGGCACAAGGCAAACGCCCACGGTCTGCCGATTCTTTGGTTAGTGTTGTCCTCGCACCCCCTTTTTTCCCCCTTCTCATGGCCGCAAGAAAAGGGAGCGCAAGAAAACACTCACGTTGTGATGGATGCCATGCACAAAGTACCCGCACTCCACAGCAGCATCACGGTGGCCAGGAACCAGTTCGGGTTGACCTTTGACAGCAGCAGGTTTCCGGGCAGCTGGCCGAGCAGGTAGCCGATGTAAAAGGCAGAAATGCCCGCGTTCCACTCCGTGTCGGACATGTGGCAGTCCTCCTGCAGGCCCGCGAGCCGGGCGTTGGAAACGTTGATGCGATCCAAATAGTTCATGAGGAACATAATGGTGAGCATAGGCATCATCTTCCAGTCCACCTTGCGCACGAGGCGCTTGTTGAGCGCCGCCATCTGCTCCTCGGACAGGTCCCGGAGCGTGTCGAAGCGCGCCTGGATCTCGATCGAGGGTATGTGCCGCGGCGGGCCCTGCGCGCCCGCGTCCACGCCGGCCTCCTCGCAGACGCTGGAGGTCGCCTTCTCGTCCCCGCTCTTGTCGTCGCGGGGCACGGGTGCCGTCGTCTTCGCCATCTTTGCGGTAGGTTGAGGACCACGGAAGCGGGACGTGACAGGGAGAGAGGGAGAGAGAGGCCGGGACGAGAGGGACTCTTGCTTCTGGCAGGGTTGAAGAAGGGTAAGATGAACGGCAGACGACCCCCGGCGAGAGAAAGGGGAAGTACTTGGAGACGCGTCCGGCCGATGAGGCAGGAGGTGACACTGGCTGGATCAAAGGGGGATGGGACCCCCTCGTCTTTATACGGGCGGGATCTTGATAACCATCTTTTCCCTCCTCCTCTGCCCCGTGGGGTAGGATCCCCCGTCGTTCCCCCGCGGGGTCGACTTAGACTGCGTCTAGCCAAGGACAAGACATTTTTTTCCCCTTGTTGCACTCGGCTGACCGCTCCCCTTGCGTGTGCGGCTGGCTACCCAGCGGCAAACGGCCCAGCGGCCAGGGAAATGTAATGTGTTTCCGACTCGCCATTCTCCCCTAGCGCCATGGCATGCCTGCTTTGGGGCCAGCACGAAAGGCGCGATATGGGGTCTCTCCGTGCGGGGTTTTGGAGAAAGACCGAAGGCGTGGGTCAGCGATGAGCTTGTTTTAGCCCCCGTGGGGGGAAGAGGTTCTCCCATCCTTCCCGCGGGAACAGCACAAGGAGCGCAGGGGTGCTGGCTAAGCGATTATCCCTGTCTGACCAGCCGCGGCAGCCCCGTATTTCTTGCCAAGACGAGGATTCCGCTTTGGTATTTCAGGACGCAAACAAGTGAACGGGGAAACGGGTCTGTTCGGTATCTTCCACGATCTGAGGTGGGCAGCTGCATGCCAATAGTTGGCGGATAGTGGGAGAAGAGGGGAATGGGAAATAAGACGAATGTACCGCGTAACATTTATGCCATGGCGGATTTGTCTCGCCGCTATCCACGTGGCGATTACAACATGCGGTGCGAATAACAGCAGTTTCAGGGGTTGTTGGTACGTCATGTCGTGCAGCTTGCAACATAGCCAAAGACGACGGATGAATGACAAGCAATGCGGCCGCTCGTAATATTTACTCTAGTAGACAAAAGTAACCTACATACAACTCGCAAAAAAAACATCCCCATATGGCCGAATTTATACATAGTACAGCACATTCCCCTCAAAGATCCTCCTCGCCGTCCTCGACACCACCCCCCTGTCCACCCTCGCCTTGCCCTCGGCATCAAGCTCCACCACGGCGTCGACGCTGACGACGCCCGTCGGGTGGCCCACGTGAACCATCCGCCTCACCTTCGCCGCCTGCTTGGCGGGCGCGTCCCCGCCGTCGTCGTCGATCATGCTCGCCGGGCTCGGCGTCCTCTCGGGCGTCGGGATCCCTTGGTTGACGGTCTGCTTGGAACCCCCTCCTCCTCCTCCTCCTCCTCCTCCCGCGGCGGCAGCAGCAGGGACGGTCCCTGGGATGCACACGGCCGCGGCGATGCACACGGCCCCCGTCATCTGCAGCGTCGGGTGCGGCTTTCCCATGCTGAAGGCCTGCACCATGACGGTCTGGCCGGCCTCCCGCGCCGCGTGGATGACCATGATCTTGGGCGTGCCCCTCGACCCACCCGCGGTCTCCCACGTGGGCGCCAGCCCCATGCGGACCGCCCCGGCCCGGCGGATGGCCTCTATGTACGTCATGTACTCCTCCGAGTTTGCGTCTGATTCCCCGACCTCCCGGGGCAGCGACTTGGCGTCCACGAGCACGCACGGGTTGGCGCAGTCGATGAGCGTCGCCTCGACCGTGAAGGACGGCAGGCCGCTGCCGGCCTCGTCGACCGTCACGTCCTCGACGCGCAGCCCGTCGTCCGACGGGAACAGCTTGTCCGTCATGCTGCCGGCCGGGTCGACAAAGGCCACCTTGACCTCGCTGCCCGAGCCCTTGGCGCCGGCGATGGTGAAGTCGCCGTCCTCCTCAAAGTCGCCGCTCTCGGTCAGCTCCACCGTCTCGACCATGACGCGCTTTGTGTTGGTGTTGTAAACGCGGACGTCCATCTGGTATCACACGTTTATTGTTAGCCAGGTGGCTACTGCATCATATTACATCTCATGTAGAACTATTGCTTACCGTCCTTTGCCCCGGCTTTGGCTTGACAAGACCCTCCTGGACCGCGAACGGCCCGACCCCGGCGGCCATGTTCCCGCAGCTGCCGTTGAAGTCGATGACGCCCTTGCCGACGGCGACCTGGGCGAACGTGTAGTCGACGTCGACGCCCGGTATGCTGGACGGCCCGACTATGGCGACCTTGGACGTCGTCGACGTGGCACCGCCGACGCCGTCGATCTGGCGGGGGTCGCCCAGGGAGGACCCCATGGCGGCCAGCAGGGCGGGCTTCCAATCGTCCATGGTCCGGCCGGGCAGGTCCCTGCGGTGGAGGAAGAGGCCGCGGGACGTGCCGGCCCGCATCATGACGGCGGGGAGCACGTGGCGGGTCCGCCTCTTCCGCTGGGGCTGCTGAACCTCGGGCATCTTGACCCTGAGCATCCAAGGGGAGAGCGAGGGCGGCGGGAGGGGGGCTGTGGCCATGTTAGTTATCTCATGGAAATCTTGGCCTCGGATTGTCAAAGACGGCGAGCCAGACTGGTAGGTAACACATACTATCGATGATGAGGGCCGGACTCGTGTGGACCGAAGACAGACTCCTGGAAGCAGCAGATCCACCAGACTCGATAATGCCGGAGTGTCTAGCGGGCGAGACAGACGCCCAAGCTGAGGAGATGTCTTGGGATCTCGCTCTGGGGTTGAGCAGCGCAGTTTTCCGCAAACAGGCCTTCATCCGCGAGGAATTCTCAAACTAATGGGTATATCAACTTTGACGGCAAAGAAGGGGACGAATTCCTAGTGTGCGTGTGTCGTAACGGGCAACGCAAATCAACGACAAATGGTATGTGACGAAAAAGGCTGGGCAGAGGCTGGACACATATGTGGGCAGTCTCAAGGCCATGGACACCGTGATGAGATTCATCACACCGAGGAACTCCCCGGTTTTCTCTCTTCCCTCCAGAGTACCCGTTCATCAAAAGACCAAGGGAACCCGGGAACTGGCAGCAGGTCCTGGCGTGCTTGGTGGAGCAGAGTGATGCGGTAGCAACCCGTTGTGGTTCCGCGGGAAGGCTTTGGTCGATATAGTGACCCACGCGGATTTAAGATCCCGCGGAAAACCAACAAGGCCCGCGATTGTGGCATCCCCGCATCCTTACCCCTGAAATTGTGTGGGGAAGATCCCGCGAGGCACATGCACACGAGGTGACAGCAATACTGGAGGAACAAGACAGACAGCAAAATCCATTGCATTACCTTAGGATCCATCCCATTGCCACGTGGTATATCCATCGAGCGCCGAGCCATGGAAGCCAAAGAGGAGATCGTCCACCAAGCCCACAGACAGAGCGCCGTCGGCCATGCCCCCTTGCTGCCAGCCGCCATCCGCTCCTGGCAAAAAGGGCCCTGCAGACACCCCGTGGGGTAATAGGGTGCGGCTCGCGAGATCCGACTGGGCGTGCTGCTGCGACTGATGGTTGTGGTGGCCCTGGACACCGTCGCTCCCGTGGTGGCCACCTGGAGTTGCCGCTCCCATCAAGGCCGAATGCGGATCGCTCGCATGTTGGGGGTCCAGAGAATTGGAGCCCACAGGAAGCCCCTCATCGGGTCCGGTGCCGTCCTGAGCCCTCAGAAAGCTTTGTATGATGCCATCCACGTCAAAGCCCTCGGTCTCCGAAGGCGTCCGGCCCTCGCGAAGACGGTTTTGTAACGTCAGGGCCCCCGTGTCGGCACCATTGGACGCCACATTCTGGCCACCACAATCGGCATTCCGGCTGCTGGAGCCAACGGGGTCTATCACAGGCTGTCGGCCCTCGGGCAGCACGACCCCGAACCTGTGCATCAGATTCTGGACAATGGCCGTGGCCCTCCTAGCAGCCCAGTTGGTTTCCTGGTTCTCGTGGAACACGGCCAGGCACGTCTCAAGGCTGCTGTAGGCGTCGGACTGGGGTGTTCGCCTGGAGGCGATGCGCACATGTATGGTTGCCGCAACGTAGGTCGCATACGATATCAAGTACGGGGCCCTACGCACCGAAAAGGTGCGATGATAGGCTCGGATAAGATGGACGATCTCGGTAGCTGCCGCTGTGCATGTCATCAAGGCGTTGACAGAGGTGGAGCGTGAGACGCTAAAAAGATGTCCGTCTGCCACAAATGGCCGGTGCAGTAGAATCAGAAACACGTGATACATTGCGCTGAGCAGTCTCAGTCAGCCTAGAAACCATGTTATAAACGTGGACGGCGGGGACACTACCGGGCTTACAGCAGACTGAGGACTTGGGGCGGTGGGATGCTGGAGTCGCGCTTGGTTGGGTCAAAGACTAGATGAGCGGGAAGAGAGTTTCGCCAAGTAATTAGTTTCGTGTGAAGCTGGTCCTGCACCTTGAGGAGATCTTCCGAGGGCTGATCAAAGCTGCGCTCCGTATATATGGAGCTCAGGATGTCGCTCATAACGATGGAAAGCCGGCATAGTGCAGTAAAGGCAGAGACGCTGTACGCGGGCGACCCAGAGTAAAGGTCGGACTGGGTCGAGTACGCAAACGGCTCCCAAGGCTCCAACTCCTCGTATGTGTCAAGAAACTTGATCGGAACCAAGGTGTCGGATTCCTTGATTGTTACTGGCCTGCCTTGGTACAGGCTCTGGATCTTGTCCACAACTAAACTCGCTCGTCGTCAGCCGAAAGTCAAGCGGTCCAAGATATGGACCAACTAACCAAAAGCCCCCCAAAAGACGCGCCGGCGAATCTCGAGGTCCTCGTCGGTAAAGCGGCGGTTCCCAGGTAGGTCCGGATGGTCAACATGCATGCCGAGATCGACCGTCATGCGAAAGGCGATTCCCGAGTAGAGCCAAGCCGCACTCCTCTCGTCTCCCAGGGCGAAGAGCGAGTTAGTCATGACCAGCAGGGCCTGAATGGTGGTGATGTCGCTACGGTCAAGCGATTCGCCAAGGAGCTCGCGCACGCGCTGGCGAAACCTCCAGCCTGCTGTCCGCACATCGTTGGGGTCCCTTCGAACCTCGGTGCGCGGGCTGAACTTTGATGCACCAAAGTAGATGGCGTTAAGTAGCAGCTTGGAGAAGTAGGGGCCATTACAGGCCATGTCCCGCATGAAGGCGGGTCGGTATGTTATCAGGAAGGAATGGTGTTGGCGGTTCCTACGGGCAGTCTTGTTAGTATTGGAAGTAAATAGAAACGAGGCAATGCGAACCGCCCGGAACTTACCAGTGCAGAGACAATAGGTGGAAGCCCAGGTCGGGATCGACACCGTCAAAGTCGAGTCTGCCGGCGCGAAAGTTTACATCTTCCAGTTGGCCTGTCAAGCATAAGCGTTGATGATCAGCTCTAGGCATACCGACTAGGCCCTGCTAGATTCAGCAAGTCGACTTACGCTGGCGAGCCGCATCGGCAACAAGGCCTTTCTCGATCCACTCACCGGGCAAGCGTAGTCTTGGTGCTTCGGTGCCGGATCTGTCGTGGCTAGGCTCCTCGAACAGAGCGCTGGTGCGGCCATGGTAGCTGGAGACGCCGTTGGCGGACAGGACCATGCGCGACACGCGGGTGCTGTGACTGCTGGGGAGCCCGTGGGACGACGCGGATGGCCTATCGCTGCGCTGTCCGGAGCTGGCAACGGCAGTATCAGCAGCAGCGGGGCCCTCACCAGGGGTGAGACTGGCCCTGGGTACAGTGCCACCATTGACAGCACCATTGACGGCGCCGGCCGCGTCCTCGTTCCCCACACGGAGGGTTACCGGTGAGGGCCGGTCACCGGTTGCCGAGCGGGTGGTAGCCCGGGTGAGCGGGGAGGACCTGGCAGAACGGACCCTAGCCGCGGCCGGGGAGGCATCTTCCGTGGGCTCGTAGACGCAATCCTTGCCGTACACTTTGCAGTTGGAGCAGATGGGCTCCTCGGTGTTGCATTTGATCTGTTTTGGTTACAGAAGCAGTGTGAGCCCTGCACCCCCCC